GTCCCTTAATATCCATACTAATAATAAGAGGGTACATGGCTCTTGGAAAAGAGTGAGGCAGGAAAGTTAGGGGGTTTCGGGTCTGCCTACAAAGACACTGAGGTCATCCTATCCTAGAAGGGGTCCGCTCTAATCCTCCCACAATTAAGCAAGCCAGAAGGCATTTTTTAACTCTCACAAAGAAACAAGTAGGCAGAGAATTAGGTACCAGTTTAAGCCAGTCACTCGCACCGGCGCAATGAATTGCTCAACGAACTTCGAGCTCAACTCACCGGAGCCTCATTATACCATCATTATAATGTGATGCATATACCCGGAAGTTCATTAATATCATTATAACAGACTGAATTCTGGGAACAAACTTGCGTAGACTGCAAAGTGATGACTCACTGAGTCCTGTCAATCTTAGTTGTCAATCGAGGAAGCGCACTCCTCTAAGAAAAGTATCCACCCACAGCAAATACGGATAAAAACCCAAAAGCTTTGTCACCAGGCCTTTGGAGCCACACTTCTCTTGCTCAGTCCCGCTTCTATTTCTGGACGTGGACTTTCCCTTCTGATAAAACTTTTCTTTTCTACTGTATTTCGGTGTCTTGCTCAATTCTCTGTTCATGACATCAATAGCCTGGACAATGCGACGGGAGAGGACCCCGCTCTCCGGTAACATCACCATCACTGCGTGTGATGCCCTCTGATGCCACTCTATTTCCCTTTCTGGGAGTGGCCCCGCTGAATCGATTTCGTGACGCATTAATACGTGTCATTCTAAACTTCGAAAAACACTGCATCTATGAGAACCTGGAAGGCAGAGTCATTCATTCTCACTGCGACGAAGAGAGGAAACCTCACTGGGAGTTGCACTTGTACTTTGCTTTGAAAGAGGAAAACTTTGAGCGGATAAAGTGGCCCCGGGAAGGCACGATTAGAACTGAGCGGTCTCTCGAATAGATTTGAATCCTAAGTAGTCAACACATTGCGTACCACAGACTGTTGGCAAGTTAAGATAAAATATTCTGACAAAAAAAAAATGTAGATTTTAAAAATTCATTAGCTATTTTTGTTAAAACTGTGCTCTTGGAATAAATGAATGTCACTTAGGCTTGGTTAGAGTAGGGACGAGAAAAGACTAAATTTAAACTCAAGAAGATCCTTTTCTGGTCCCAGCTCTATGAACTAAACAGCTGTCTGTCTTGAACTTGCACTTCTCCAGAGGCCTCGCTGCCCTCGTTTACAAACTGCAGTGGTTGGAAACTAAGGGAATTTTAAGGCCCCTTCCGGTCTAATTCCTCCAGGAATAACCGAATTATTATCACCTCCATTTTGCACGAGGAGAACCAGGGTGCCAGATTCGAGCTCAGTGTTCGATAATGTTTTTGATGTCCACTTGGATTCTTTTATCAAGTGAGATCATTTAATAAAAATTTTACGGGAAGTAAAATCACATAAGAATGCAGGGTATTCTTCCCCAGCCTAGATATTTCTTTCTGCTCGTTAATGCTTATTTCCTCTTACGGTCAATGAGCCCTTGTTCTTCTCTCTCTCTGGCCCCTTTTCTCTCTCTGTGTGTGTGTGTGTGTGTGTGTGTGTGTGTGTGTGTGTGTGTGTATTTCTGCTCCTTAAAGTGAGTATTTAAATGATTAGTCCAACCGAGTCTTCTTACCCAAGATCTAGCCCTACACATCCAACTCTTTACCAGGTAGTTCAACTTCAAAGTTCCATTCCCACTACAAGCTTTACAGCGAAGACTTGCACGTCTCTGTCATGTCTGCCAGAATCCATTCCAGCCATCTGTTCTCCATATTATATAACTAAAGTGATGTTTTCAAAACTCAAATCTTATCCTGTCATCTCTCTCACTTAAAACCCTTCCCAGGCATGTCATCACTCTTAGAAAAAAAAAGGAAAATCCCATCACATCTCCTCAAGACACCTTGCCTCTTTTTTCAAGTCCTAGTTTGAATCCCACCCAAAGCGGTCCTTCCTACCCCAGCTTGGAAAGACTTATTCCTCTTTGGAACTCCTAAGGCAAATATTAGCGCTTGGCGAATGTTCATGTGCTGCCTCATGATATTGTTTTTCTGTTGTCTTGAAGGGTTGTTTACACCTTTTAGAGCTATTTAACTGACCCTGTGTTTACGTCTCTCAAACTAGTCTGTAAGCTGCCCAAGGAAAGAGTCAAAGATTTACATGTCTTCCTATACTCCTTCCGGTCCCATAAAACCAAAAGAACCTCTCCAGTCACTTTCATTCAACCTTGTAGTCACAGCTTGTTAATCACCCCAACCAGACTCGAGCGTTTCGAGAGCTGGCAAGGAGTCCTTTGTGCCTTTGTGTTCTCATCGCTTAGTATTTAGGAAACGCTCCCTAAATCTCTGAATAGATAAGTGTTCCACATATATTTCTTTTGTTGTCGTTGTTGATTTGATTTGTTAAATCCGGGCTAGCTTGCTTATGTTGTTCTCATGACTTTCCGATATTGCAGAAAGGTCTCTTACTTCCGAGTAGAAGTCTCCACTTGAATACAGACAGCTTGTACTCGGGACACCTGAAACCCAACTCCTGACCTTTCCCAGGCGGTCCCGGGCATGGAGCATGAGCAAAGGTGCAGAGGGCTGACTGGGCTGAAACAAACACATCTGTCTAGGCAGGTCCTGGCTCTCGGTTTGGACAAAGGGTCAGGAGAAAGGGTGGGGTGGGGGGAGTGGGGAAATGGGGGAGTGGGCAGGAACCGCTCACTAGGAAGACGTTTTATTTGTATATTGCTTATGTTTGTTTATCTTCGGTAGCTCTAACAAACAAAAAGGCACCTACCTGGGCTGCACACTAGACCTACTATGCGGGGGCCTCTCCTGGGAGGGCCTCCGGCTTCTGCGTTTTGACAAGCGCTGCCTCCCTTGGGGACTAAAGAAACTGGGTTCTTGAGCGAGCGACAATGCTTCTCTCTCTGTTCTTCCTTTTTTACACAGTACATTGAAAATCCTTACTCTCGAAATCCTTTTTCCAAATGTTAATGGCTTCCCCCTGCTCTTTCCTTAATTTCTTCTTCCCACTGCTTCTTACTGTATGAGCCCAGACTGGAATTAAGACTTGAATAAGGACTTGATCAATGCCAACATTAGTAGGAGGATTACAAGCCAGCTGTTGTATGTCATGCCGCATTAACATGGACAGATGTCAAGTCAGCCTTTAAAGAAAAATCGGCTTCACATTTGCCTAATCATATTCAGACCCCCCAGACAGCTCTTATAATGAAAATGCTTGAAAACATACTAATCTCTTACCATTCTCCCTCCAAAAGACAAAAG